AGGAAAATGTTGCTGGAGCTTGAGGTTTTCCTAAAGCAGGTGTGGTTGATGAGCACTACTAGGTTTCCCAGCAGTCCCACCGGAACAGTGAAAGCAAAGAGCACCAGCACGATGTAGCAATACCAATAGCTGTCCTCAAAATGGTTGCAGAATTCTGTTGACTGGTTCAGGAACACGAGAAGCTCGTCTGGGATTTAAGGACAGGAAGTTGTTAGTTTTTACTACAGTAGTTTTGAAAGGTTGGCTTAAACTAATGTGAGTGGTCAACATTACCATGAGGATAGTTGGATGTCTAATTTACCGAATGTAGCCTTAGAGCTGCTTTGTCTGTCATATGAATGTTTGGACATTTGAAGAGTAATTTGCTCTATTGCTGAGAAGTTGGTGACAAATTGGAGACAGCTCACACATCTGTTTGATGTGAAACTAGATCCAACCAAAGTCTGATACATGTAAGCCTGCATTTGTGTTATAGGAAAAAAGTTGATTAATTAACAAGATACCATATTTTAATTTTGCATTGCAATAGGCTGCTTGGGTCTTACCATGATGCACTCTTCTTTACTTCTTTTCACTCTCTATGTGTTTATAGACGGAGTGCAGATAAGTGGTCCGCAGGTGCGCATGCGCTGTCAAAATAAAAGACGCGGACCAGATAAGAAGTTGCAACGCGCGTTTGCGTACATATAAAAGGCACTGTTTTTGTCCGCTAGAGTGGGATTTTTACGGCATATTCTGCACCGCATCTCTGTGCGTTCATCATTTGTTTGAAGCCAGCTCACCTCCTGCAACCACTTTTCTGAGAATACGCGCTTCTTTTGCGGTTCGGACTCCTTCTGACATCTCTTTGGAGGTGGAGGAACACCAAAGTAATTGCTTAAAGGAGCTTGCTTCTTCGACATCTTTAAGAGTTCTAAACAAATGTTTGTCCTCCTCCAGAAAATCTTATGTACGCAAACGCGCGTTGCAACTTCTTATCTGGTGCGCGTCTTTTATCTTGACAGCGCAGGCGCACCTGCAGACCACTTATGTGCAGCCCTGTTTATAGACCACTTTGCATTTAAAAATGAGTTATTATTAATATCCGTCTCTATTCTACAGTGTGTTTTTGCATCAAACTGAATGTCATCTCATGAAATCGCATTTTGTGTGTTCACAAATGTAAAATTGTGGTTTTCCAGGTACAGCAGTGGGGTTCTTAAAATCTTCTTGTAGCCTTTGAAATCAATGTTAATGGTCAAGAAATGGTGTTGCCCCTCTTGCCTCATTCTAGCACTATATTTACACGGACACACTTTAATGTTTTATGTCATTCTTATTCTGTATTTTAAGACTGCATTCAAAATACTGCATTTTTGGATTCAATAGTTTTTTTCCCCCCCAAGTCAGATGTTTTCATTTGTTTCACTGACTCTGCTGAGTACTTAAAGTAAGATGTTTCCCCACTCTCTCTCAGGGCTCTCTGTATTTACACTACTGTCTCTATAATCTCTGAGCATCACCAGTGTGTCCAGGAAGTGAGTGCTTGATTGTCTGCTGTGAGCAATGAAACCTGAGGGGACTGTTGATCTGTTCCCTCCACCATGTCGGCCGATGTTTGCACTTAATCAGAGATCAAACATTCATTTTGCTCAGGTGAGCAGACCTTTAATAATTCACATCTTATCACCCTCTGAAAGGGAGAACAGAAAAATGTCTTCTTTGGTTATTTAAAATGTGTAAATGACAGCGAAACATTCGTCAAACTGGTATACTGTACATGTAAGCAATAAATTCTTTCCACAGCAGGAAGATTTGCATGTTTAATTTGGAAAAAAAAAAAAAGAATTTGTTTCTCCTTCCAGAATCAAACTGGGAATCTTCTTTTGCTCCTGAGTGCTTGGATTAAATTGCAGGACACTATATAAGTACTGCTCCATTTACCATTTACTAATTATGTCAACAACTACTTTTCACTCAGAAGCTTAATGTTAAGTTTTATAGGTTCATTTACAATAAACTAACTAATGAAAGTATTTGAAGTTGAGATTTGATCTTACCTTCTTTACTTGGTGCTGTACTGTCCCTTTTTAAGAGCTGTGTCATGATGGAGGGATCACATCTCAAGCTGGCTTCAATGCTTCACCACCAATTGTTTGTTTCCCATGCGACTGGAGCTATCGGTGCGCTGCTGCTTTATCTGTGCTGTGTGTGTGTGTCTGTGTATCTGTACATCCGCACAACACAACAAAAAGAGGATTAAACAGAAGTACTGTTTAAATATCAGGCATAATTGCTTGTCCACGTGTGCCAGTGGATGATTGATTGCTGACTTCTGTTAGTGTTTACTGTCTGTGTGACCTGTGAGTGGATTATGATTTTGTAACCCGAGCACTTCCCCGAAATATCAAATAGAGGTGGAGACTGGAGACCATAAAGACAGAGAGGACCCTGCAGACACAGATTTAGCATTTAATAGAAATGACTTAGGAAGGAAACTGTCAGATGATGGCTAATAGTAGATGATGCCGCCTATTTGTAATGAAAAATAAAGCACAAAATACTGGTGTAATGTTTTATGTCCCAAAGATTCTGCCATATTTTACGCTTTATT